AGAAGAAAGAGCTCGTATTCTGGTGAGAGTGTCAGTACTTGTTCACGAGCGAGGCCCGAGCTCAAACGCCGGGGAACTGCGCAGCAGCCCTGAGGTCCATGTTGTAACAACATAAAAAGCGCTGATGGGGCTAGAATCTCTTCGTGCACACTCAGGCTGCACACACATGGCTGGTCGCGATCATGCCAGTGTGGCTCGCCCATGTTGTACCATGAGATCGCCAGCTCAAAGTTCAACACGTCCGAGCCTGGGGCTGGAGACAATGATGATCAGGACTGCACTGACCTATCGGGGGCGTTCATTGTGAGATGTGTATGAGTAGATGATCTGGGAGTCGAGGTTGGGTCTCTGAAGAGAAGGGTGCTTCAGAGGTCGAATCTGGAGGTGAACAAGCGGCGATGGAGACGCTGACGCAGAAGCGGTAGTCCCTATTTCTGATCGGAAACTCGTGAATGAGAGGGAATCGTTGCGAGGAATCGAATATCAAGGCCGTTCGTTGATGCCGCTGGTTGGGTGTCGTCGTCAAACCTTAGAGCGCTCTCATCAATGGATCGTGAAAGAGCGTCCTTCACAGCCAATAGGTGAGGGATGCGCTGAGAAGCTTGTCGCGTTGTCGCCTGGGGGCGCTCGGATCACCAGCCACGTTGCCTTGGAACCAATGCTAAATGTGGCGTACCGTGTGGCTGTACCGCCCAAAACACTGTACATCCATCGTATCACAAAGGGAGACGCTCAAACACAACCACGAACAGCAAAGACCATGAAGGGTTTACAGAAATGTTGAATATTCGACGATCGCTATGAAAGTATACAAATGCATCCATAAGGCGATCTAGTGCCTTGAAAGAAATCCAGTCTGATCTCCCAGCATATGCAACCCCCGACTCCTCTCGTAATGAGACCTAAGAGACTCCCATACTTACATATTGATATTCAGATAATTGGTTGCAAAGTTCCCAGTGCAACGACACGGCGATGGATAGCGTTAGTTGCCCTTGGAGTCACAGTAGCCCGGCAGAGGAGGTCCGGAGGGCCCCGCAGCCCAGTTCATGACGGTCAGAACAGTAGTGTAGGACATGGCCACGAAACCAAAGACGCAGAGAATAGCGTCGGCGATTTTCCAGTACCTGTTCCGCGCGACGGCCTTGTAGTGGAGGAGGGGCTAACGAAGGATCAGTAAAGAAGTACGCATGAAGCCGACACGAGGCACTCACAGGGTAAATGAAGACCAGGGGGATGCATGCGAAATTGCCGACGAGGGCGACGAACTTGTCCAGATTGGCGGCACCACCCCAGGCGATGGCAGAGCACATGCAGACAAAGAAGAAGCGGTAGCAGTTCTTCTGCCACTTGATGTAGGGGTTGTACTTGCCGCTCTTGGTAAAGAGGCCGTTCTCCGTAATCTTGATGGCGGGGAAAATTTGCAGCGGCGTCGACAGCATGATGGCGACCGAGTACAGGAACTGAACACCGTTGACGAGCTTGCTGTCCTGTGGAAGGTTGAGCAGAACGACAGTCTCCGTCTTGGAGCCGTAGGCGGCGTAGGAGAAGGCGCCCATGACGATGAAGACGGTGGTAATGATGATCATGACGATGAACAGGACGCGGGGGAACTTGGTCGGGTGCTTCATGGACTCCTGGATCGGAATGATCAAGCCAATGCCTTCAAAGGTGAAGATGGCGGTGCCGATGAAGAGGGTCCAGTTGTCTTGGTTGAACATGATGATGTCCGCCAGGCCGTTGGTGGCCAGGGTGAGGATATCGTAGTAGAAAAGGTAGGCAAGGCCGATGAGGATGAAGGCGTCAGCGACGAGAGCCGTGACACCAAGCTTCTCAATGTCGCGCATCAGCGAGAAGGGCAGGAACACTGCCAGTTGCATCAGAATGAACCACTTGATATCCATGTACGTCTTGCAATCGGTGACAGCCAGCACAAACGCCTGCAGGTTCTCCGAAGTGAACACCATGTACGCCGCGATGAAGCCGATCTGGCTCAGCACGATGGAACTCAAAATCATGCCCCGCATCCACTTGCCGTAGAGGATACCACCGATGTCTCCGAAGGAGCCTTCGACCTTGAGACGGGTCGTGACGAGGAGGACGAAGCAGTAGTAACTCAGGGCCGCAACGAAGAGCAGGATGAGGTTACTGAACAACATGCCACCGCTGAGGTAGGCACGCGGCAGGAAGAGGACACCCGTGCCGACGAACGACTTCAACAGAAGCATGGCAGCACCCATGGGGCTGTTGGTGCCACTGCCGCCACGAGGCTTTCTCCTCCTCTTGCGGCGCGAGGGTGTCAAAAGAGCACTGTCCTCCATCGGTTCCCTGTCCTCGTCGCTGCCCTCGTCGCTGTAGTAGGAGTCGTCGTCGGGGCCAGACGAGAAGTACTCGCCTGGCTGCAGAGCCTCGTCGTCCTCCTCGAGCTCCTCACCGGCAAAGTGGCCGTACATGCTCAGGAACTCGAGGAAGCTCGAGGTCAGCATGCGTGGCTGGGCAGCATTGGTGCCCTCGCCGGCCTCGAGACGACCTCGATCTGCCGAAGGGCTTCGCGCCGACCTCCTCAGGTAGTTGCGGCGGAAACCACCAGGAACCTTGATGGCGTTGATATCGAGCACCTCGTTCTCAGGGTTCGGCCGCGAGACGCTGAAGCTCTTGCTGCGCTGCATCTTGTTTCTCGCCTCGGCCTCCTCAGACCATTTGTAAATGCCTCTTGTGACGTCGCCGCCCTGCAGACGGAGACTGGAAAATTCCTCCTCGTCCAGGCCGGCTCCTGCGGGGTCGGCCGACTGCTTTCCCTTGACACCATCTCGCAGGCTCGATTCCTCGGAGCCGGCATCCGTGGGTTGGACCAGATGCCTCTTGACAATCTCGGGGTCCTCGTACGCGCCGGTGGCGGGGTTGCGTTTGCTCGAGTCGAACGAACCGTAGTTGGTCTGAGGTGTGCTGCCGAGCAAGGCACCGGCAGCGGCGGGCGATAGAGGCCTCGGGGGCGGGCTGGAGGTGCGGACGGCGGGCGTGCCGTGCCTGGGAGGGGAGACTCCGATCGAGTTTGACAGGGCGGCAGCGAGGGCGGACACGCCGGGGCCCTGGACGCTGGAGGCGACGCCGCCGGGCAAGGGCGCCTGGCTGTTCACGTCACCCGAGATGCTGGCTCTCGAGGAGACTCCATTGATGGGCTGTCCCTGGGGGGTGCCGAACTGCTGTGAGGGAACGGGCGATGCGAGCCTGGCTGTCGCGTCCGCACGAGGCACCGAGGTTCCAAACTGGCGGGCAGCGAAGGAGGAGGGCGAGCCGGCACGAGGAATATTCAACGGGTCTCTGAATGGGGAGGCCATGATCGTTACTTTGCAAGGCTGTTCGACAGCTGGCTCATGCTGCGGTGACGATCGTTATCGGGTCGCCCGAAGGTAGAGGTCGCGGGCGGTCGTCAGTCGAGTGAAGGATTCCTGCGGCGCGCACAAGTTGTTAGCGCCGAGTCATGGGGCGGGCACGTAGGGACGAAGGAAATGCTCGGACGACAGCATCTTATGAGACCATAGAGCTGCCGTGCGAGGTTGCTTACCTGTCGGTGGCCTCGGCACAGCTGACAAGCTCAATTGGTGGTTGAGGGAGTACGAGAGCGGGAAGAGATGCTCGTGGTGTTGCAGAGATCCCGTGATAAGCCTACGGTGCCCGTTACTCGCCGTTGTTATCAGCGGGTCACGTCTGGTGACGGATGACTGGCTCGCCAAGGGCTTGAGCCGCTTTTCCAGCGGGCGTGGGGTCTGACCAGCCACACACTCACGGGATCAGGCCGATGGCAGGGCGGCAGGCCCCCAGTGCATCCCAGTGCATCCCAGTGCATGGGGCCCTGAATCAAGGGACCTGCGCGACGACGTCAGACTGCGCTTGACGCTTGGCTTTGCTGTCCGTGTCTGCGTCTGCTGGCGTCCTTCGTTGTTGGGTGATATGCAGAGACGGGCACGAGTTTCGGTGGTTTCTAGAATCCAGAGCCAAAGCGAAGTACGACTGAAGACGAAGACCTCATAAGAAGGCCCAGGGCACCTGCCTTCTGTCAGGAGACAGGTGCCTGCAATCTCCTCACAGAAGGCAGGTGCCTGCAATCTATCTAGGCAGGTAGACACCTGCTCAGCTGTACAGCGAGCTTGCACAGCGGCTTGGGACTTCGTGTGGGGGTTGAGTAGCGCCCGATGCGCCAAAACATCCCGGAGCTCGGGGGGGGACATTCTTTCCTCATCAAGTCGCTGGCACAGGGCAAGACCGGCGGCTCCAGCGTGCTTCCCCAGCATCGATGCGTCGAGAGCAGCTCCCGTTGCTTTATGTCCGTCTGCCTGACGCTGGGACTGCGAATGGATAGACCTAACTAACCCTCATCCAACGCCTCGCCTGCACGAGCAGCGATCCGAGAACATCTGCGTCCATCTCCGCCTGGCGGTCAACACATCCAGTCACAGTTTCACGCAGATCCTCGGCTGACGTTGATTTCCCCAAGGCCAGTGACCCCCCACCCAATGAGCGCCAACAGGCCCCTCCTGTACGCATTCCCAGATGCTGCAGTAATGCTCCTCAAGGCGCACTTCCTGCAGCTCTGCACCACGGTGTGCTTGGCTCGCCCAATCCAGCGACTTTGCCTTGGATCCGCCGGCATCTCATACGAGGCGAGGGGCAGCCGATGCCATCCGGATGGACGTCTCGGGCTGTGTTGAAGTTCAAGTTCAAGTGAACCTCTGCTCCTCGACGTCTACCTCACGAAACACATCGAGTCTCCTTCTTCCACTCGTCTTTCCCTCCCGTCCGTGCTCTGGCTCAGTCAATCCCGCACCCTGGCAAACGCAAGCTGAGCTGTCTCATATGCCGATCAAGGAAAAGGTGGCGCATCCCTCCTCACAGTAGGCACATTCTCCAAAGCGCCATCTTCATGACCCCTCCCCTGACCGCTGGCTTGAGTCCCCAGGTTTCCGCGGAGCTAGAGCAGGACGAAGAAGCTATTCACGCGCACACAACCAGAGCGCCTCACCCCTGCTGAACAGCACCGATGCGAGCATGTCCGCCGACGATAAACGGCCCAGCCTCTCCGGCTCGGACGTATCGAAGAAAGCCACGAAGCTTGGTGTCGTTTCCGGTGTCTATATACCTGTCTACCTCAACATCCTGAGCATTCTCATGTTCCTGCGATTCGGCCTCATCCTTGGGCAGGTTGGCCTCTTGGGCATACTCGGTTTGGCGCCACCACTTTTCGTCATGTTCGCGTGCGGGGCGAGTAGACTAACAAGCAGCTCCCAGGCCTGCTCATCACAGCGTATCTCGTCGACTTCTTGACCACGCTGTCTCTATCTGCCATCGCGTCCAATGGCGAGGTCAAGGGCGGCGGTGCCTACTACCTCATCTCGCGTTCTCTGGGACCCGAATTCGGCGGCTCGATTGGCGTCTTGTTCTATCTCGCCCAGGTGCTCAACACGGCCCTCAATGTCGTGGGCCTCATCGACTGCATCAGGATGAACCTGGGACCTGCCTTCCCTCAGGGCTACTGGACAATCTACGGCTTCGAAACCGCTGCTTTGCTCGTCTGCACCGCTCTCGGCTTGGCCGGGAGCAGCATCTTTGCCAAGGCGAGCAATGGCCTCCTCGTCATCTTAACGTTAGCCATACTGAGCATACCTGTTTCGGCCATCTTCAAGACCCCTTTCCAGGATGACGACCTGGGTATCGAGTTCACGGGCGTCAGCCTACAGACGCTGATAGACAACTTCGTCCCCCACACCCGAGGCGCTGCGTACAAGGGGTTCGAGACATTCCGCGAGCTCTTTGGCATCCTTTTCCCGGCCACATCCGGCATCTTTGCGGGTGCGTCCATGTCTGGTGACTTGCGCAATCCAAGCAAGGCCATCCCCAAAGGCACGCTCTGGGCCATGCTCACCACGTTCATCGCCTACTTGGTCGTCATCTTCTCCCTCGCTGCGAGCACCACGCATGCGTCGTTCCTTCGCAACACCAATGTCATCTCTCTGACGAATCTTTCTGCCCCTCTGATCCTCGCAGGAGAGTGTGCCGTCACGTTCTTCTCCGCCGTCATGGGTCTCATTGGGGCGGCCAAGTTGATGCAGGCCCTCGCCCGAGACCAACTTTTGCCCGGCCTCACCGTGTTCGGCAAGGGGAGCAAAAAGGCGGATGAGCCTGTTGTGGCCATCATGTTGACATATGCCATTGCCCAGATAGCCATGCTTGCTAACTTGAACCAGATCGCCACCTTGATCTCCATGGGATACCAGGTATGTGTTTTTCTTTCTGTTGCCTACCCGCACAACACGCATCGCTCACTGGCACCAGATGACCTTCTTCGTGATGAACCTTGCCTGCTTTCTACTCAAGATTGGGTCAGCACCCAACTTCAGGCCAGCTTTCAAATTCTTCAGCTGGCAGACCGCTTTCGCTGGCAGCATCTTGTCGGCCGCGGCCATGTTCTTCATAGACGACTCATACGCGGCATCTGCCGTCTGTCTGCTCGTGTTCTTGTTCTCGTTGATTCATTATCTCAGCCCGCCGAAGAGCTGGGGCGACGTCTCGCAAAACCTCATCTATCATCAGGTCCGCAAGTATCTGCTCCGACTGCGGCCGGAGCACATCAAGTTCTGGCGGCCCCAAATCATTCTCCTCATCAACAACCCAAGATCCCAGACTCGGCTGATTCAGTTTTGTAACTCCATGAAGAAGGGGTCACTCTACATCCTAGGCCACGTCATTGTCACCGATGACTTCAACACCGGGGTGCACGAAGCCAGACTGCAGCAAGCTGCGTGGACAAACTACATCTCAGAAAAGTCGAGGATCAAGGCATTTGTCCAATTGACCATGTCGCCTTCGATCAACTGGGGCATCCGAAACTTGATCTTGTCGGCAGGGCTCGGCGGCATGAGGCCGAACATTGCCGTCATGGGCTTCTACAACATGGATGAGCTTCGCAACTCCCGTCCTGCTGTCAAGGTGCCCGAAGTTCCAGCATCTCCCACGAAGACACAGAAATCCCCCTTGAAATCGAGCAAGGGGCCGCGTAGACGTCGTGGAGATACTTCTGCGCGCCTACTCGAGGGCTTCCTACCTACCGACGTCATTCGAACGGAGAGCATGATGAGTGTGACGAGTTACATGACAATGTTGGAAGACCTCGCCCTACGATACAAGCTGAATGTCGCTGTGGGCAAGGGCTTTCAGGCTCTGGAGACGCCCCGAAAGGACAGGGCGAATACGAAAAAGTACATTGACCTGTGGCCGATACAAATGTCCGCCGAGCTCCTCTCCGACGGCAAGAGCGTACTGACAACGAATTTTGATACATGTGCGTGTTTGGCCTGGTCTTAGGTCATAGCCCTTGCTGACTCTTTCCAGACACCTTGATCCTGCAATTGGGCTACATACTGGAGAGTGTGCCGGCCTGGAAGAGCGCATATGACCTGCGTGTCATGGTATTTGTGGAGTATGAGAGTGAGCTTGCGGAAGAACGGGCCAGGGTGCAGGCACTTCTTGATAAACTCAGGATCGAGGCCGAGGTCCTCGTATTTTGGCTGGCTTCGGGCGAGTTGAAGACCTACGAGCTCATCATCAATGGGCGCTCGGATGACGTCGACACGGATATCGTTGTCAATGACGTTCTCTCGAACGAGGAGTGGTGGGACGATCTTCAAAAATTCAGGGGTCGCGCCTCCAACATGAGCTCCAGTCAAGAACTGAAATCACTGGCAAGTATTGTCGAATCAACTGCAGGCCGACCAGGGGTTTTCAATCCGCACGTGCCGCTGGACGAGACTGGCGGCAAGCGACGCACGAGCATGGTCCATCTGGGGGATATCCCACGCAAGACGCAAGCGTCTAGACTGGGCCGGCTCGGCGTGAGCATGGGGATTCACACCTCACATCTTGGAGACGAAGTTTTTGGAGAGGATGACGATGTCTTTGACGAAGAAGACATGGGCGGAGGAGAGAATGCGGTCGACAGCTTCGACTCTGACTCGGATTACCGCCATGTCGATGAACCAGCCAGCGAAGACGAGGATGGCGTCGTAGACAACGGCGAGCTCGCGAGACGCCCTCTTCTTTCTATCAAAGGTGGTGGCAGAAGTCAGAGCGATGATCTGCTCACTAAAATGCCGTCCGCGAGGAAGCATACAAAGACACGCGGTGTAGGAAGAGGGTCGGCGTATGGCACCATGTCCACCGAAACAACGGCGAACACACTATACAACAAGGGAGCATCTCACGTCGAGATCGATGACGGTCAGCCAGACTCGTCCGTCGTGAACACGTCTGAACCTTCGAGGCTGCCACGAACCCTGTCAAGCAGATCGCTGCAACCGCCCACGCCTGGAGATGCCTTCCCATCGCTCCCGAATGAGACGTCACAGGACGCTTCTGGCGTGCCCACCCCGATGCGACCACAATTCTCCCGCCAGTCATCGGCCGCACGCTTCTCCAGCCGACCAGTGCCAGAGACCAAGGTTGCAGTCGAAGGCAACTCGGGCCCGACCATCATGTTCGCCGAGCCCACCGCGGGACCCTCCCGGCCAACGTTTTCGCGGCAGTCGTCCATGGGCAGGTTCCCAACCCAGCCCAGCGGCGACACCAAAAACACCACCGGCTCCTCCACTCCGGGCATCACGTTTGCCGAGCCGGTATACCACTCCCGGCGACCGTCGCTTGTTTCGACTGTTGATCCCGGCGACGTCCAACTGAACATGGCCGAGATTATCGAGCGCTACCGCCTCGAGGCTGGCCCCCACGACTCGGACGAGAGCGGCGGTGCCACCTACTCGACGCAAGGCGTGGCTCTTTCATTCAACGACCTGCCTAGTCGCGCGCAGCACCTCATTCTCAACGAACTCATGCGCCAGTACAGTGGCGACACAGCTGTACTATTTACCACGCTGCCGATTCCTGCCGACGGCACGTGCCGCGACGAGGCAGCGAGCATTCAGTACCTGTCTGATGTTGAGGTTCTGTGCCACGAATTGCCACCCGTTCTGCTCGTGCTGAGCAATAACATGACCGTGACGGTGGGGTTGTAAGGGAGTGTCGTTTACGATTTCTGTTGGTAGCGATTTCATGGGCATAGCATAGAATGGGCATGTAGCACATGGCATTTTGAATTTTCTATTGTAGGCGATTTGACACGCTTCCCCGCGCGAGTCTCGGCCGTGGCAAAGGAGTTCGATTGCGCCATCTTTGATGTGTGCTGCCGTGGCTCTCTTTGAGGAGAAGGGGGTGCCCCTTTGTTTCGCGGATCATGACACCACGCCGCGACCTTTGCCCTCGATGAATGGCTGACCCCCCCTTCTCAGGGCATGGCACACATTCCGTACGATTCTCCAAGAAGCCCGCCCGAGGCCAAAGAAAACGGCATGCTCTCTCTTAAAGGCGCCGGCGCGCTCTCCCGCCTTCCGCCTAGCCGCCTCTGCACCGCATTTTCTGTGAAACTTGTCGTGTTCTGCCGGCCCAAATCATGGCAAAAGGCATGGAGAGACAGCCTCGGAACACAGGATGGTCGCGCTTGCGGCGCATGAATCTGAACCGCCTCTTGCTCCCGTCGAGGCCCGCGCAGGGCGATGCGCCGTTCAGGCCCGTCCATACGCCCGATCGACCGGAGGTTCCCACGCCGGTGACGGCCGCGCCGTCGGACGAAGAGTGCATGCGGTTTCTTGAGGCGTTCCGATCACCCAAGAGTTACGGGTTCTCGTGGGACGACGATGATGACGAGGACGACGAGCCGGCAGTGTGGCCGCTCCCGCGGCCGCTGGAGACGAACGAGGAGACGGGGGGCATGTTGTCCCCGACGATGGACGCCAGTATTCCCGTGACGGGACAAGCGAGCGTCGCAGTGGCCGTGGCCGTGGAGCGGTCTGCGGGGCCCAACGTTGTGAGCGCGGTTAACAAGCCGCGGGCTGAGGAAGACCGGAAGGCCAGACGGGCGCAGCGTGCGGTGGGCATCACGGCGCTGCACGAGGTGCAGACGCGGTCGAAGATGCTGGCTTCGCACCGCATGGCGGCGCGGTGTACGTGGCGGAGCTCCGATTCGGGGTACGGCGCGTCGAGGAGATCGGATGCATCGCTGGCCGCTGGGACAGCGAAGAGACAATGTCCGTCGACAGAGGACAGTGCCGTAGACGACTCTGGAGCCAGAGCTGTCTCGGGGCTTGCTTCGCGGCGGACGACCCGAATACTGTCAGCCGGGGACGCAAACGACGACGGCGCCACGGCGGTGGATGGTGCACGACATGCCCGGCGCGGCTCGCATGTCGTTCACGAGCTCAAGTGCCCGTATACCCTGAAGCGAGCCGTTCGCGGAAGTGTCCTGGGCGAGAGGCCTGTCTCGAAACCTGTCTCGAAGTTCCAGAACTGGCCAATCATGGAGAAGCGGCGGACTGTCGCTGGGCGAGATGTTGATTTGTACGCAGACTGGGCTGAGTATTACTTTGAGAGTACAGGTTCGGAGCGGACAAGCCTGGGGGCCACAGTGAAGACAGCAGGCGACGAAACCGACGAGGCGATGGGGACTATGGAGAAGAGGGAGACGATATGGGAAGACTTTGTACCGGAAAGTCCTTCGGCGGATGAGTTTGTTCTCGCTCGGCAGAAGAGTACTATTGCTCTGCTATCCAGAGGCAGTGTTCATCTCGGGTCTTTCTTCTCGGACGATAGTGATTCTGATGAATGTGGATTCATCGGATCCTAGTACGCCAGACAAGGAAGCCCAATCATCTGTAAATTGATTCGAAATAGCAGGAAGGAGACGCGGAAATAAGGGTTGTGGCCTGGGAAGAGCTGTATACAGACAGGTTGAGGGCAACTGGCGTAGTGATGGATTGGAAATAGCTGAATGAGTAATGTTCGCCTGTTTAACACATGATATGTTATTCAATAGTCCAAACTCTCCGAGCTATTAATTCTCCTGCACCGAGCCTGCGATAAAGTCATGCTTCGCGGCGCCAGTCCATGCATGGTCGTGGCCCAAGCTCCTCACTGATGAAGCCATTCTCACCAGTTCCATCTCACCTTTGTCCATCTCTCCTCCATAGCACCACCGCCATCATCATCATCATCACCACCACGACTCATGCCGCCGCCTACCACCCTCCCTCCTTCGAAAAGCGTATCGGACATCCCCCCATATCCGCACCCTCCTCCCCGCCACCCGCGACATCGCCTCCGCCGCCCACGAGCTCCGCTGGATCAGGGAACACGTCCGCGACCACCCCGCGCTGTCCCAGCGCCTGGCGGCGCCTCTGCCGGCGCGGGGCCGCGGCGGAACCACTGCAGTACGTCCTCGGCACGCAGCCCTTTGCCGCCTCGAGATCAAATGTCGCCGGGCGTGCTCGTGCCGCGCCCGAGACGAAGGGTTTGCGTGCAACCTCGAAGTCTTCTCGGCGCGTGCCTGCGCTGCTTCGGCGCGACGGCTGAGATCGTCGACGGGCACAGGGCTGCATAGCGCTGTCGCTGTTCGCGGGGCTGCAGACGAACGTGCCGCGGCTGCTCGTCCGGGGCGTCGACGTGTCGCCGGTGGCCGTCGCACTCGCGCGGGGCGAAACTGCGGCGCAACGTCGGCGAGGGGCCCGGCTGCGGGGCCGCCGCGACGGCAGAGCAGAGCGTCGAACTTTGTCCTCGGGTGGACGTCTTCGACGACGCGACTGTCGAGGACGCTCGCGCGCGGCGGCGGCCCCTGGGACGTCCTCGTGTCGAACCCGCCGTACGTCTCGCGTGACGTGTGGGCGGCCGGCCGTGGACAGATGGGCTACTCGGTCAGGAAGTACGAGCCGAAGCTGGCGCTGGTGCCGGGGGACGACGTGCCTGCGTACGAGGGGTGCGCGCACGAGGATGTGTTTTACGCGCGGCTGCTCGACGTTGCCGTGGCGCTGGGCGTCCGCGTCGTCCTCTTTGAGCTCGGGGACGAGGGACAGGCGGCGCGGGTGCTGCGGTTGGTGAGGCGGCGACAGGCGCTTCGGGGGGCTGCGTGCGAGGTCTGGAGGGACTGGCCCGACGTGGCACCGCAGGAGGACGAGGCCAGGGTGATGAGTGTCGGGGAGGATGGCGATGACGAGATTCAAGTGGCCATTAGAGGCAGTGGGAATGTGCGGTCTGTCCTGGTTCAGATCCCCGAGCATTCATAGCGGTCGACATGAGACCTTCGATACCCTTTGCTAGTTTACAGGTTTACTGGTTTACTGGTTTGCTGATTTACTACCTAGGACAGGCCAACTTTGGCCACACGTCTTGTGAGAGATCTTCAGGTGAGAAACTTCAAAACAATCAATGCAACCAACGGCAGCCGACGCGGTGTACAAAAGATCAAATGCAAGATCAAAGCATGGAGGTTGCAAAACAAAAAGAATGCTCCGAGGCGGATTCGAACTGCCGTCAATGCAGTATTGTAGTAAGAACCACAATGCATCATCCTAACCAACTAGACGATCGAAGCTATCGTTGAAGAGGGTGCAAGATTAGTGCTACATATACCTTGCCACAGGAATCTAACCATTCATCGTCTCCGTGGTAAACGCATTCCCCGCAACCTGCATATGCGATGCATGCGATGGCTTACCCTACAAACCAACATCAAACTCAACATGAAGCCCATCACTCCTCTTCGACCTCTCTCCTCTCCTCTCTCCTCTCATCAACCACGGACTCAATACCATACCGCCGTTGCCCCTCCAGCGACATGAGAATCAACCCACTCACAACTGGGTTCCCGGAAGCGGACCCATGACATCGCCATGTCGTTCCCTGACAAACCTCTCGCCCACCTTCTGGGTGCCAATGGTCAGCAGCCGTCCTCACTCACTGACACTGACACTCGCCTTGACCACTCATCTCGACCTCCCACTAACTTCATCAGGCCCCATACACGCCCTCGCCTACTCGGCCTCCCCGGGCACGTACATCCTCACCGGTTCTGCCGACCGCACAATCCGCCTCTACAACCCCTTCCCCGCCGAATCCCAGTCCTTCGCCAGCAGCAGCAGCAGCAGCAGCAGCATCACCGGCCGCTTCAAGCAAGGCGCCCCCGCTGCCCCGCTCCCCGAAGGCCGGCTCATCCAGTCCTACGCAGCCCACGGGTACGAGGTGCTCTCGCTCGCCGTCGCCCCGGACAACCAGCGCTTCGTGTCGTCCGGCGGCGACCGCGCCGTGCTCCTCTGGGACGTGGCGACGGCGACGACGACGCGGCGCTTCGGCGGCAACCTGCACGGGCACACGTCGCGCGTCAACGTGGTGCGGTTCGCCGGCGAGGGCGAGTCGCTCGTGGCGTCGGGCGGCTTTGACACGACGGTGCGCCTCTGGGACGCGCGGTCCAGCAGCGCCAAGCCCGTGCAGGTGCTCGACGAGGCGCGCGACGCCGTCACGAGCCTCGTCGTGCGCGGGCCCGAGCTGGTCGTCGGCAGCGTCGACGGCCGCGTGCGCAGCTACGACGTGCGCGCCGGCCGCTGCGTCGTCGACGTCGTCGGCGCCAGCGTCACGAGCCTCGACGTCACGCGCGACGGCAAGGCCGTGCTCGTCGGCGCCCTCGACAGCAAGCTGCGGCTCATGGACCGCGCGAGCGGCGCGTGCCTCAAGACGTATGCCGATGCCGCGTGGCGGAACGAGGAGTTCAGGGTCCAGGCCGTGCTCGGCGGCCGCGAGACCTTTGTCGTCGCCGGCGATGAGCTGACGGGCGCCGGCGCCGGCGGCGACGGCAGGGTGTGGGCGTGGGAGCTGCTGACGGGCAAGCTCATGGCCAAGGTCACGGTGCCGTGGGGTCCGCCAGGGTCGGGGTCGAAGAAGAGAAT